GTAAATATTATTTATAGAACTAGGGTTTTTTTAGTCCCACATTATATATGAGATTAAAACTTTGATGCTAACAACGGATGTAATTTTCATCGTTACTACTATGAGTACTTAGACCGAGTGTCTTCTTTTATCTTCAGTGCATGTTTAGAGAAATTTAAGGTATCTTCTTCAAATCAACGTTTTTGACATTAAAACAGAAAACTGCAACTACTGCCATGTATCATTTGAAATTTCCGAGAAAAAAAGAAAAGTATATCTGAAACGCCCGACTGCGGGAGAAAGTTTGTACTATATCCTTTCTCCCGCATAAATATCTTCGGTATAACCGTTATACCGAAGATATTTCCATGTATAAAATGTATACATCCCACAAATTTTGTAAGATAAAACAATAGGAGTAGAATGAAGAGAATCCACTGAAATAACCCAACAAAAATGAATTGTTCTTGAAAAAAAAAACCGTAAAAGTTACAGGAATTTTTTCTTGCCCGGAAGATGTGAGTGTACTTTCTATAAATCCATATATATCACTTCTACTCCCTTGTGACGTAAACACTACCAATCACATGTCGCTATAATCCTGCATTAATTTATGTGAATATTTTGGGATTTCAAGAAAGCGAATACCGCTTTCTGGGAGTCTGATGATTGTTTACATTATAGTAGCTTCAAAAAGTTATAAAAAACCGTGGCAAAGTGATACGATCAAAACGTAATTAATCATTCCAAGAGTGTGGTTGGTTTGACTTATTGACTTCATGTTGTGATTCAAATGCATTATAAATACCAAGACTTTATTTTGCTTCCCTTCGAAGTAAACATTTATGTAAGATGATACTTTCATCATTTTTACGAATATTCATTTGAACCTTAAAACAAAAAGGTATATTTTGAAAAAGGTTTATGCATACACTTGTCTGATTTTTTTATTTATTACATTTATTCTTTTATCTTATCATACTTGATCCCCGTCATTTGAAATCCAAATTATCCACATCAAACGTTCAAACTCACTTCATTTGTTAACTAACATATATTTTCATTTCAAATGAAATTATATGTTCACCTCGCACATATACTTATGCACGGTGAACTTATTTTACCGGCATCTTGACTTTAGCTTGGATTGGACGCATTTTACGTGGTAAGTCGAGAAAAAATCAGTTTACTCCATGACTTTCATTTATTTTCGTCTTATATCATGAAAATGACATGAAAAGACTCTTTGCATAAGATTAAACATTAAAAATTATGACAGAAGAGGTCTTGTCATAAAGTTAGTATTATAAATTTAATTATTTTTTAGTTGATAATGTTTTAACCAATTATATTAAAAAGTTTCCAAAATAAAAAAATAAAAAAATAAAAATGAAAAATCGATATAAATACTCGCAATCTTAGGCAATATTGACATATTTGTGTTTATTTTACATCTCATTAAATTTTAAAATTATGTTTGACTTTGAAAATACACAAATTTTGGAAAAACACAAATAATGGATATAGTTTTTTTTTAATATATATTTTTCAAAATTTACAATTGGAAAAGACATATTTTTGATCAAGTGTTTCATGCATCAAACTAAATTTAAACTCAAATCACTCTTTCTATTATGACTCTTCAATGTCTTTGCAAATGTTTTTGTTCTTATAATCATGTCATGAAAGGATTTCTCAGCTTCATGTTGAATAAAATGTATCAAACGATATAATTATCAAATGATTTATTAGAAATCATACTACAAATATATAATGATATCAGGAAACGGCTTGATGTTGGACGGTAATAGTGTTATTTAATGGACATAAAAAACAATTATGAAGAAAATTTTTGAATTTTACTTAAGAATTGTCACCATAAAGTCTAAATATGTAGTTGATTTTTCAATTTCAATCATATCATGACATAATGTGGTCTACTGATTTCACTGCTAAAATATCAAATGTCTGTGATATATTGATGAGTGCATGAAAATGAACATCAATGATTTATGATATTGTTTATTAAAATAGTGGTAGTTTTAGTGAATAAGATATATTTATCTTATCTACTAAATCTACAATAATGTTAAGAAGAAGTTAGTTAAATATTGTTGGAAAATTTTTGTTTTATAGTTGACATGTAGATGATTTAACCTATCTTATCTAGAGCATCTACTAGCCATACATAATTGTCATCAAGAATCATATTCAAGATTACATGAAACAAAAAAATCAAATTGTTTACTGCAATAATCAACAAACTCTGATAACTGTTATACATGTTCCCAAAAAGTTGAAGCTGAAACAGAATCACTAAAAAATACCAAGTTTATAGATTAACACATTAATTTCCAAATATACCATCTAAAGTTGGATAGTCATAGTTATAACGAATGATCTGCAAAGTCCCACAATGCGTGTAACCTTCAATAGAAAAAAATGTAACACTCGAATTCATAAAACCAAAATGAAAAACCAGATAAACTCTAGGGTAGGCCATGACAAATATCGTTTCATTGTCTGAAACATACAATGCATCTAATATAAATGACTTTTCCATGTGAAAAGCTACGACGATATAAAAGGTAAAGTTTAGAAGTTTAAAATAGATATAATCACAATCAATCCAAAATTGAAGCACAAATAACACTGCTGATTGATCTGATGTGAGAAAATTCACTTGTGAACGTAAATCCCATCTTTTCACAAGCATCTTTCTAATTTTAGTCTTTGTTTCCAGCAATAGTAAATTGTGTATTCACTTTCAATTTTGACAAATATATTTATGTCCTCGGCGGCTTATCTTTCCTAGTCCCAACCCGTTAGATGTCCGCAAATTATGATAGAAAATAAGAGAACACTTCGAAATCTTCAAACATCCAGGTTGAAGTAATCCTGTATTAGCCTTTTACAACAAAAGAAGTTATGCACGATCGATGAGTATTTTCGTATTTGAAAGGGGCAAAAAGGGAGATAGGTACTTGAGAAATTTATGCTACCCATTTATATTATTGAAAGTTTTTACTCAACCTTCTCATACGTAATCTGACATGATTATGTGATGTATAAGTATAGGCTTCAGACGATGACGGCAGTTATTTCTGGTATGGTTTTTGAATTTGATTAGAAGGGATATATATTTCACCACTCTTAGATGGTTGTTTCTATGAAGGGGGCGGCTAATATATACATGTAGGTATAGAAACTCATAATAATACGGTATGGCAGAGTACTCATATACAATACGCTTCCCAATGTTGTCACATACATCCCAGACTGTACATAGAGGTTGGGCATTTCACATTTCATAACTGGAGAGTTGTCCAGAGCTTGAACGGATCAAAGTGGACTAGGAGCCTGTTATGTGGATATCGAACTGACGCAGTTGAAGTCTGTAAGGCTACCACATCCGTACACCAGCCTGTCCTGACGCCCGTCAGGCTTTCAGCAACGTGGGGTCGACGATCACGAAGGGGGTATCATTTAGTCCAGTAACGGAACGAAGTTGTGTGGCGTCGTCCTACGTGTCCGGTCTCGTATGCCAATATTCTCCCAATGACCGGTTAAGTTTGAATGTCTAGCTGCGGAGAGAAAATAGAGGCGATCGTCGACCTCCACCCGCCCGTCGACCCCAACATCGTAGGGCTCCCATGAGACATTTGACGGGATCAGGAATAATGGATGGAATGGTGTGGACCCTACTAATAGAAGGAAAGCCAGATTGCTACGCGTTTTATGCCATGTGAATGTGACTAGGCTTGCATGTGTAAGGTGAGCACTGACTTGATATTTCGGTGGAATAGCTCCTGGTCCAGCTTGCAACTCCTGCTTGCACCCCTCACTTTCCCATTGCATATTCCTCCCCTTTCAAATCCTACATATCCCTTTCTTGCTGGCACAACCTCAAAGCGTCACCCTTTCCCTTGTTTTTTCTTGATTTATAAATGTCAGCAAACTGGGCTACCCAAGAATTAAAAGGCGAAAGTGCAAACTTTTGGAATTCTTTCGGGTCTCGTGTCACATTTTTTTCATCTGACCTGAACATGATAAATCCACAGTAAAAAAAACTGGAAGTAGGTTTTTTTTTTTTGAGAAAATTGCCACCTTATTTCCAATTATTTCAAGTTCTGTATCCAAATTTTCTATGATGTTTAAATCCAAAGTGGATTTAAGATGTAAGAAGCCGTGCATTTTTTCGGATGGAAATTCACTTACAGCTTGAAAAATAAAGAATCTGATTTAAAGCTTGGGTTATTTGCGGATGATACGATTGGTGATACAAAGAGATTTATTGCATGTACCGCGCTCTTATGAAAGGTTAGGGAGCTCGCTAAATGGTAATTCGTCGATTAGGGCTTCATGACTGATCACGATCTCGTTGTGGGAACTGGAAACGACTTTTCTTCAGGGAATTACACTTTAAGATGATTTGGGATATTTACGAACTTGTTAACCGTATGAGTGTGTTCTGATACTGCAAGTACAAATCGGATAGGGGCTTTGTTCACTCATGAATCGTACTTAGAAATAGATGACTGGGATAGAAGGTTAAGCAGGACATGTTCCTAGCCTTTTTGCGCTAATAAATTTCATTTGAGCGAATATAAGCCGATAAAAAGTGGCGGCAGACGGTGTTTGAGGCATAACTTAATCCGTGGAATTAAAAGTGTCAGAAGCGAGAGTACAGTAATGACATTGTTCTTAACACAAGTCGGAGAAGGTTCCATGTGTTCTTGTAACGACGCGGAAAGCAGGTGCGGCAAAAGCTGGCGAAAGTGGCGAGAGAGTGAGACAAAGGGAGATATTATTCCAAGGGCAGCCCGAGAAATCATCAACGGGCGGGGTCAACGAGGAGCCGCTCTCTTCACCCCGCGTGGCGCGGCGCTGGTCCGCTCCCCGTCTTCTCCCGTCGTCTGCCCTGCCCGGCGTTGCCCTCGCCCGGCCCAGCCCGGCCCGCGCTGCGCTGCATTGCCCTGGCCCGGTCGTCCTTTGCCTTCCCTTCTCGTGCTGCGTTGGCTGCGAGACATCGCTTACTAGTCGCGAATGTTGTAGATCTTCATCTCTGCTTGTGCCGTTGTTGTTCTCTGTGCGCTTGTGCTGCGCATCCGTTGCCTTGCCTGTCCTCCCTCCTCGCGCAGCGTTCGTGAGCGTCCTCGACACGCTCGCCGGCTGCCTTTCATTACTTGTTCTCTCGCCTCCCATCTCTCGTCTCTCGCCTTCTGTTCTCTTCCTCAATTTTCCGATCTCTTGTACCATCGATCGATCTGATCAGGAGGAAGCAGGCACGACGAGACTCTTTCGCTGCACTTCGAAGGAGGAGCGAAGGAAGGAAGGAAGGAAGGAAGGAGTCGAGGAGGAGATTGAGCATCTGCTGTTAGGCTGTGCTGTGACTGCGTGAAAGTTTAGAGAAGCCTAGCAGTTTAAGGAGAAGGAAGAGATGAGAGAAATCATCAGCATACACATTGGACAGGCGGGTATCCAAGTCGGAAACGCTTGTTGGGAGCTCTACTGCCTCGAGCATGGCATTCAGCCCGATGGACGCATGCCATCGTACGTCTCTCACGCTGTGCACTGTAGGAGAGGGAGGACGCGGTCATGTTGTTTGTTTGTTTAGTACCGTCGTGGAAGTAGATGTCATACGATTGACTTGTTTTCTTATCTGTTTTCCCGGAGGTCAATGTACTTGTGTTTCCACGTTTTCAAGGACCGTGGCCTAACTCGTGTCAGTAGTCCCATCAACGAGACATAGATCATGGACATTCGGCGTCAGTCCGAGCAGAATGTTTTTCGCAGTATTCTAGCTATGAAGGTGATCTTCCGTGTACTGAAGCTCTAATACTTGGAGCATTAATACCCGTGAACTATCATATCCACATGCCGATGTGACATTTGATACGTCTGTGGTTCCTACTCACCGCCAACCTTTCGTTTCGTTAGGCAAATCGAAAAGTTTGTCTTCTGAGAGATTTGCGTGTGTGATCTGCGCAGGGATACCACAACTACCGTCGGAGACGACGCCTTCAACACTTTCTTCAGTGAAACTGGAGCCGGGAAACACGTTCCCCGAGCTGTTTTTGTGGATCTAGAGCCTACTGTCATTGATGAAGTCCGGACTGGTACATACCGACAACTATTTCACCCAGAGCAGCTGATTTCCGGAAAGGAGGATGCGGCCAACAACTTCGCTCGCGGCCATTACACTGGTGAGTATTTTCTTAAACTGTTACAGTTCGGGAGTGGTTGCCCTCCGTGTCTGTTTATTCACTGAAAGTAATGCCAATCTGTCGATTTAAGTACTCGTCATTGTACTGTGGAGTTACATCTGTCTTTCAGTTTAACCTTCCAGTTTATTGTACAATGAGTTTATGATTCCCGAAAGTAATCCGTAGTTGTTTCAATCTGGAGGTGGTGAAACGAAGCGCTAAGCACATTGTCACTTGATACGTTAGGAGACACGTCTCTACAAAGAGACTCCTACTAGCTTCCCATGTGGTAATTGTTGTACACACGATCAGATTTCTTAGCCGTTTCTCAGAACTAGATTCACAACACAACACGTCATCATCATATACAGCGGACTTTCTGACATTGTATCTTGATTTCTCACAATGTACGGCGTTTGTCAACCACGGATTGAATCTCTTCATTCGCGTGTTGCTCTAGATGTATGATACACGTGTAGTATAGGCCTGCGGTGCTTTGTCGGTGTCATTCTGTGGAAGGCCAGCACTCATCCCTGCACATTCTGACATTTTTTCTTGACGTAATGCAGTGGGCAAGGAGATTGTAGATTTGTGTCTAGATCGTGTGAGGAAGCTGGCCGACAACTGTACCGGTTTGCAAGGTTTCTTGGTGTTCAACGCTGTCGGAGGTGGAACAGGTTCAGGCCTGGGTTCTCTTCTTCTAGAGCGCCTGTCCGTGGACTATGGAAAGAAGTCCAAACTTGGATTCACAATCTATCCATCCCCTCAGGTAAGATCTTGGTTATTATGATCTGTACACATGATTTATTTCAGTAATATGTGTCTGTTCTCTATATTTGTAGAGATTGTTCGCTCTATAGCTTCTTTATACTGAAGTTTTTTATGATCTCAGGTTTCAACCGCTGTGGTAGAGCCTTACAACAGTGTGCTGTCAACGCATTCGCTCTTGGAGCATACCGACGTGGCAGTTTTGTTGGATAACGAAGCCATTTACGACATCTGCAGACGTTCTCTAGACATTGAACGACCAACATACACCAATCTTAATCGCCTTATCTCTCAAATTATCTCCTCGTTGACCACCTCTCTTCGTTTTGATGGAGCCCTCAATGTGGATATTACCGAATTTCAGACAAATCTTGTCCCGTATCCTCGTATCCACTTTATGCTTTCTTCGTATGCTCCAGTTATCTCGGCAGAAAAAGCTTACCATGAGCAACTTTCGGTTCCTGAGATCACCAATGCTGTTTTTGAACCATCAAGCATGATGGCCAAATGCGACCCTCGTCACGGAAAGTACATGGCCTGCTGTTTGATGTACCGAGGAGACGTGGTTCCCAAGGATGTCAACGCCGCCGTCGCCACCATCAAGACCAAGCGAACTGTACAATTCGTTGACTGGTACGTTCTTTTTCTGCTATATGACATAGTCGTGGGATTGTCCGAATTTATATGCCAGACAGAGTTACTTGCCACGGCAACAACAGTAAAATTGTTGACATTATGATGGAATAACACTACCAGCCCATCAATCAGAGTAGCCATACATCACAAGTCTTACAATGGTCGAGATGCTCTCAATATATTGTCAAGAATCAATTACGCGTTAATGCTAATTGGAGTTGCGGTCTGCTACTAGCAGAACTGGGGTGAAGCTACATAGCTACCCACCCCACCACTGACGTTAAAATCCCTGTTAACTCAACAGGTATAGATTACCACACGAGTTTTTGGAGTGGTAAGTACACCATCCACTCCAAAGATGACGAATATCCAAACTCAGCTTGCATTTTGCAAGAATAAATTTTCTCGCTAAATCCACCCGTACAAGGAGGAAGTGTGATGACTGAGGAATACTAATCGTGGATGAAGCCCTTCCATGTTTGGGAGTGTTGTCCACTTCTCCTCGAGGATTCTCACGTCTTGGGAGTCTCCCTGTCTTTTGCCCAACTAGATTCTTTTGTCGTTCAAGAGAATCCAAGAAGGAATCTTACTACAACCTCAATCCGCTTGTGCCCACCGTTAACAATCAAAGTCAATATTCATTGTCTATTTTTTTAAATAAATTAAAGGCAACAAGTAGATTCTTTCAAATCAAGGCTATTAGAATGGGTAAAATTCCTACAATTCAATTTTCCATTTTAATTCGTAAGAGGATAATAACATTGGAACTCTTAGAGTTTTGATCACCTAATTGGTTGGACGTGCGCAGGTGTCCTACTGGGTTCAAGTGTGGAATCAACTATCAGCCACCAACAGTCGTGCCTGGTGGTGATTTGGCCAAGGTGCAGCGTGCTGTGTGTATGATCAGCAACAACACAGCAGTTGCGGAGGTGTTTTCAAGGATCGATCACAAGTTCGATCTTATGTACGCCAAGAGGGCTTTCGTACATTGGTATGTTGGTGAAGGTATGGAGGAAGGAGAATTCTCAGAAGCTCGTGAAGATCTTGCTGCCTTGGAGAAGGATTATGAAGAAGTTGGTGCAGAGTCGGCTGATAACGATGGTGATGGTGAGGACGAGTACTCTTAAGTGTCTCCTTGAGGAGTCGTAGGCTCTGGCTCTGGCACTACTTCTTGTACTCCAGCTTCATGTTTCTTTAGTGTCGCTTCTTGTGGCTAGTGCTCTTTAGCAAGTCACCAGCTAGTGACTGCTGCTGCCACCAGATCACGGAATTGTTGAGGCATTTTCCTGAGATATCACTGACTAGAGAGGAAGATGCGTTTGGGGTTGCGAAGATTATTTTTGAGAGATAACGACTAGGTGATTTGTGGCTTAGTGTTGACATCCATTGCCTGCCCCTCACCACTGCACTGCAAGCCGAAGGTGTTCCTCATTTAACTCGACACAATTTTCAACTGCATTGGTTCATCTTAAGTTTCACTGTGTTGTGCCTGTGAGTTTGTATGTGCCTACGACCCTGGAGCTCAACGAGCAAGTTCTGCTTAGGAATGGGTCCCAGTTGCAATGGATTGAGGTAGAGATGTGGTAGGGGTTTGCTGTACATATAATCACTGTTGATGACCTTGCAGTAAACACAGATTATCTTATCTGAGAGAAGCTTAAGGGGTAGATGAACCTTGGGTGGATAGGATATAGTGACAGTGTGCTGTATGAAAGTTGTTATTGTTGTCACTTGGTTCTTGTGGCAAGAACCTCAAGATTTCCCAGTATTGGTCTAAGCATGCATTTCCAGATACCTCTGTCCGATTTTTGCTTGCTACTTTGAAGCATGTTTTCCAAGAAGCGATAAGCTTCAAGGATCGATGGACACACGATAATATCGTGCCCCTGAGAACCCTGGATCTGTGCGCGAGTTGGGATTATATCTACTACCAGGAAATTTCACTGATCTTGCTGGGTCTATATGAACAGTGATAGGCTTGCTGTGTTCCCAAAGTGAGCCAAACAAGAGTGTTTTCAACCAGTAATTTTTTTTGATCTAGTGGAGCATAGTTTTCCCTCGAAAATTGCCCATCAGTCAGATGAGCTCGAAACTAAGATGGAGTTTTGAGTGCTATTTACTTACAAAATGCGTACATAAATCATTGAATGTCTGGGACAGATTACGTGGAGTTTTTGTCTCTAAGACTATTTCGTGTAGGCAAATTCGGTGAAACTGCCCTTCAGTACTGTGAAACTCAATTCGAGTCGAATTCTGCCGATGGATGGAAATCTTTTGATGGATTTAACGAAGTGTACATCAGTGCTCTATTGTCCTGTGCTGAGGGATTTCACCACACGCTTAATAATTTCGCAACGGCTAAAACTTGCATCTCACACCTTCATCTCCCCTGATGCGAAAGAACTGACATGAATTATGTCCCACTGTCCATGTTGAATCCGTATCACAGATCAATAACGAATAGTGCCGTCAACGGCCGGCTTGTTGCATGACGATCAAGTGAAGCATGGGGAGGTTAGTTGGACGAACAATTCACTCACCTCAGTCATCTGTCTAAATCCAAAAATTATGATGAAATGGAGTATTAGTACATGTCACTGTAGGAAAATGTAATCTCTTTACAAATATGATCATTTCTGAAAGTAAACACCGCTTCTGGAAATGTTACGCACAATAAAATGCTAATTCCCTGCGCCAAATCCTCAATTCGGTTAAAATGAGACATACTATCCACTTGAGGTACACAACCTCTACCATTGAACTTACTGAAAGCACGTTAAAAACTTCAGTAAGTGTTATCTAAATGACTACATTGCATAGTATAGAAAAAAATGGAGTAAATTTGAAGCTATCAACACGCTAACTAAAACAAGACGAAGAAACTTTCACAACTTAAAATGGGCCAGGTTACGCACCATACCGTCTCTATCCCGTATCATCTCTGTACATGTTGCATGAGAGTTCTCAGATGTATCTTTCTCAGCATGATATTTTTTGGCACATTTCCCTTGATCTGCCCTGATGATGTTTTATGATTTTGTTATCCGTTAGTATATGCTTTTTATGTAGAGCACTATCTACATATTATATTATTTTTCAAATATTATGTTACGTAAGCTTAATGCAATGACCCGCATGACTTTCAATATCACAGCCTTCTGCAAGCAATATTCAATATTACATGTAATAGCTAAATTGAGACATATCTACATACTTCTATAATTCAAGGTCTTGGTTGTTAATAGTCTTCTCATCAAGTGCTATGAATATTCATCTCTTTTGAAACATAATCATGGATTAGAAGTTGTCAGGATTGTAGCAAACTAGTATCAACAATTGTTGTTTCTTCATAGAGTTTTATCTATGAAGAAAAATTCATAGTTTAGTTATGAACTTAAGAATAAGTTACAGTGCAAACATTACTTTTCGTATTACTTTTTGTCCAGCTATAGCCTATAGCGCATCCAAGGTCGAATATTCAGTGGAAAGGAGAGACTCCCCTGAATATGTTACTAGTATATATACAAATATTTTGCTAAGATCTGCAACCAGCGAATGGAAAAGTCTCTGCATTGATGTGCATGTCGGTCAGTCGCTCGGGCTGGTGTGCCCTGCGGTGACGTTTCACACACCAGACGCGAACTTGCCAGCCCGGTTAAATAACGCTGCGCGCTACAAATCCGCATTTATGAATATGAATTTCGAACGATCACGACGGATGTGCTCGTGGCGATCAACCTCTTCGCACTCTTGTGGGATGGGACAGTCCAGTTGGTCTCACACTCCTTGCTCCTGGAGATGTCACAGCACAATGGGTGACAGTGGCGATCAACCTCTTCGCACTCTTGTGGGATGGGACAGTCCAGTTGGTCTCACACTCTTTGCTCCCGGAGATGTCACAGCACAATGGGTGACAGTGGTAGGCCGTCACTCGCCTAAACATGTTTAATTTAGTATACTAAAAAAATTAATTTAGATTAATTGAATCTCCAAAAAAAGTTGAACTAGATTAATTTAGTTCACTAAAATGTTAATTTAGATTATTTTGATCTATTCAAAACAATTTATTTAGGTAATTTTTAATACAAATTTTTTATTAAACATTTTTTAATGTTTAATTTGTTCTATGAACAAAAATTGTTTTGTGTACATGATTTTTTATATTCCAAAGTTTGATAATTTTTTGTGAAACAAATCTTTATACCAACACAAAATTAAAAAATCAAACTTTACCGTATTTGTTTCAAGAAAAAACGTTACAACTACATAGCAATATTCCATTGAGATTTAGAAATCGAGCATCAAATAACTACTAAGCATCCTTGAAACTTAAATGTTTGGAATGCGAATCTAAGATGCTTTTAATCATTGGTTCACATCTATGAGTATGGATAAAATATTTATGCTGATCAATAATGATATCGATATGATAAGATGAATAACAATGCCTCAATCAAAAAATATGTTGTAGAATCTTTCTGATTAAATCTGCTTTGGATAGCTTGATGAATTCATGTAATAACACTAGAGAAATAGGTTTAAAATCAGTCATAGTTTTGTTGTTTGGATCTTGATAAGCACAAATTTCATGAATTTCTCATAGTAGGCAATGTCGTAAACAAGAGAGATAACGTGTTGAAAATTGTTTAGATCACTTTCAATGACTTAGTTCCATAAAATTTTAACCCAAAAAGCCAGACCAATGAAAAATTCTTAGACATTGAACAAAGCATAATGACTGACTATGATGTGAGTCTATAAGTCAATATTCGGAATTGTTTCTCTATTGAGCGATGCAATCAATCCAACTTTGGCCATGAAAGTTGCAACATGGTTATACAAAACATTTTGCTGTTAAAATACAAATGTATACAATACTTGAATATCACAAAAAACGACTGTTGCTTGAGTAGTGAAATGATGCATAGAAAAAAATGCAATCCATCAGAGTCGAATTGAAGTGGAAGCTGGCTGCTTTGACTCGATATGAACGAATAATTGTGTTTGATGGATTTTGAACCAAGTGATGATTTTTTCTGTCAAAAGTCCACGATTAACAATATGAGTACATGTAGTTTGCATTTCCGCGATCAAATTCTGCTGCCGAGTCAGGTGAGTATTAAATCTTGTCATTGCTGAAAATCATCGTTCTTTGATGACATTGTTCATTATCTTCTCCATAATAAGATCTAGTTGATGCACTTCACATCAAATTTGAATAAAAATATACTCCTTGTGCATCATGTCGGCAAGACGAGTAGCAATCCCAATAATTTGTCTAGTCATATTGATTATGTTAGTCGTCAAACCAAGAAGATAATTTGTCCAATATAGATAGAGTACAATAAAAAACTTGCTCATCATCGTGAACATAACATCACATCACATATGTGACGATCAAACATAGCAATTGCACAATCATGCAAGTTAATAATTGAATGATAGTTGCGAATGAAGATTCAGAAGCATATATCAAGAAATGAAATGCTTTGATGTGTCGTCAAGTCATGTGCTAATGAAAATGTCCACAAACGTCAAAAAAGGTTAGCAATTTTCTAGTAGATTGGCAGTGGAAATTACCCAAACAAAGTTACTAATTTTGTGACAAGAACATGAACGTAAAGCAAGATTGTCCAAAACTTCATATGTGTCATAGATAAGTTTGGATGTCATACAAAATGATATATCGTAAGACACGTAACAGAAGACCATGTGAAACAACGTTGTTTTTGTCTTGATAATTATCACTTCGTAAAAATATTCTATAACGATATCCTTAGATTCAACACAATAATAATGCGCGTTCTTTTGACTTGGTTGCTGCATGTTGACGTTGAACTAGTTGGACATTATTTTCACCCATACAACCAAAAAGATGCTATCATTTTACTTCATCTTCTACATCACTTTTTTCTTGATTTTCAGGATTGAACCTCATATTTTTTGACAATGATATCCACAATCAATCGTTCATTTTATATATGAAATCTCTTTCATCTTTCAAATAAGACAAAAAATGGACTTCAAGGAATTTTTAAATGAAATTAATCCATTCTTGAAAAATGAAATACGATTTGAAGATAGTTCTAAGCTTTGATACACCTGTCGTGCGAATACATATCGCCATACACTCTACATCACTGACATGCTACTCACATACACATACGCACACACATACACACATATAAGGCGCGAGAGAGTACACACTCAAATGTCACAAGTGAAATAGACGGGAGATTCCCCACTGAAATTCCCGTCGGTCAATTACCCTACTAGCAACAAACCGTCACCGTCACAAACATGAGTCAAGCCCAACCCACTCCACACTCGGAGAATCTAGGTCGACGCAAAAGGGAAAGTCGCTCTACGCTCCCGACGCTTCCAGGCTCGACTCGAAGAACTAACGTTCTTCGAGCCGTCCTCGACTGTATACCCCTCGTGACCCGAACCCTAACTTCACGTCTAAATATAGTAAGTGTCTAAACTGCGTGAGCCGACTCGTAACTACATGACAGCTGTCGTGCGAATACATATCGCCATACACTCTACATCGCTGACATGCTACTCACATACACATACGCACACACATACACACATATAAGGCGCGAGAGAGTACACACTCAAATGTCACAACTCGCCCCCCTAGCTGGCGGTCAGGTCCCTCTGACTCCCAGGTAGCCCTATCTACAACTACATGCTATACACCTTCGTGGGTGCGCGAACCAGTAGGCCGGGTGCTATGTCGCCCCATCGTTAGTCGCCTATCTGCAATTCATAACATGTGAAGATCAAGTCATCTACCCCTATGAAGTACATCGAGGACAAACCCATCATCCACCGGGAGTACTAGTACTTGATCCTACCGGAATAACATAGATAGGCGGAGTCAGGCACAACATGTGCCATCCCCTAGAACACCTATCACACATCAACATACGGGCCGCCTGACCAGCTGACCCACACAGCATGCACCTCAAGCCAGCACGTACTACCGCTAAGCTTGGACCCATAATGCCATCTACGTTTGGGAGGTGGCATGGCGCACAATTGCGCACATGATCCTTCCAAACAACGCCGTCACAACCCTCCAACAGGAGAACTCCAGAAGGTAACACCTCCCGCACCCGCAAGATGGTGCGTCCCGCCGTCACATCCAAT